TTGACTTGAAAATAAAACACTTTGAGTTAATCCTTCGCATCCACAGATCAAAGACTTCTTACAGATCAATGTATGTTAGATAGTGGATATGTTGATGGCTTATAACAGGAGTTAGTGCCACGAATAGTAGAGGACGGGCGTTAGGAAATAAACAAATCAGTGTCGCTAGTGACATCTGACTTTGCCTCCAACTTGGATATGGGCAGGGAAATAAATTCCTTAACACAATCAAGAAGTGCTATGTATATTGTTACTTCCAACGAGAACTGAGTAAATGCATTCCACTTCATATGGTTTTAATAAAAATTTATTACTTTTCTTTTTAAAATATCCAGATTCCATTTCACTGAGGCAGGGATCTGCGGAACTACGACCCTACTGGAAAGAAACAAAAATGCAGCTGCTTTAGGGTCCTTGTTCAGGCCTTCTTGTCTTATATTGAAACTAATCTAGTTTCATCTACAAGGAAACTGAAGAGATACTAACCGTTGTTCTGGTTATCCCCCAAAAGTTCCACGAAAGTGGGCTGGTCACGTAAAAAAATTGCGGCCATAACAATCATGATGTCCCTATTTTTTAAAAAAACGTAATGCTAAAAACCTGACTCTCAAAAACGCTAAGGGTGGCCTTCAAAACTGGCAACTTATAACACGATTTGAGTATGGCTAATTTCAGTGAGACACTTTCCATTGGGTTAAATGATTAAGATTTGGCCAGGCCTATTAAAAAAAGAAAAGTATTGTATGAAGAATAATATTCCTATTGTGATACGCTCTGTGTTAAAAATTGTATAGTATGTCAAATTCTAAAAAGCTTCCTAATTTGTTTTACTTACAGCATCTAGTTCCACCAAATGGCCTTCGAGGTAGACGGCCAACTCTTCCACGAATGCTCGAACTTGATCGTCAGCGATATGGAGCTTAAGCAAAGAAATAAAACAAATTGTATATGGAAGAAGATCATCGCAGTTATAGACGCAACTTTTTCTACTTTTATCAGGCTTGTACGGGATTTGCACCCTTTTGACCTTTGCGATACTGGTGCAGCGCTCTACCACAGGCCTCAAACGTCGTGTTAGTGCCGTGCTAAGCTGGCTCGACTTCAGCACGACTTGGTTTCAGATGTCGAATTTAACTCAGTCGAATAAAATAGCTGTGGCGGAAAACAAAACTAAAAAGTAAAAAGTGGCTTAGTGAACTTTAAAAATGCATTCTAATGTAGTTATAAATTACGAATGGAGTTCGGTACCACAGTAGCGCGACGTTTGAAACCAAGTGGAGCTACTGCCGTGCTACACGGCAGTAGTACGATTTGGTTTCAAACGTCGCGATACTGCCGTGCTAATGTGGAATTTAATTCGATCAATTTAGTTCGGCACGGCAGTAGCACGACGTTTGAAACAGGCCTTGAACAAGCCAACTGGGAGCAGCGATGATCTTTCATATAATTCGTCACCCGTAGTTCTCATATATGATTTTCATACACTCTATTTTTTTTATAAGAATGTTGTTTTTCCGGCCCAGGTTCAGTATTCTTATTTTTCTGCCGATTTTAGGCTGAAAATATTCTTGTATTATTCTTAAATTATAGCTTATGACATTTCCGTTTTAGAATGTGCACGTGCTCCATTGCTTTTCGTTGCAGTCAGCGAGTTCAAGATGTCACGTCAAACGACACTTGGCTGTTTTGGCTTTAAAAAAAGCATTTCGCACAGAAATAGCATGATGGAAACGAAAGTACCCGATTTTGTTTCAACTATGTCAAGGACAATTTGTAATCACGGCAGTAAACTCTTTGTTAACCAGCAAGGGTTGTCTGTACATGAGAAATGTGTGCATGGTGTTAGCGGAATGACAAAGGCAGCCAAACTTATATCTATCCTTTTCAAAATCTCAGCCTCGGCTTTATTCTTAAAATTTCGCAAATTTCAGCCTCGATATTCTTAAAAAATATATTCTTATAAAAAAGAAGAGTGTATATATTCATAACTTAATATTTTTTTTGTGTTTGTTTGTATCAAAGACTGTAGAAATCAATTCAGTGGCACAGAATATATTCTGACTTACCGCCATCTGTTGATGATTCGCCATCTGATTCTTTCAAAGTCAAGTAGAGAGAAGAGAAAAAGTTTCTCACTTTTTTCTGGAAATGTGAAATTGGAGTCTTCGAGAGAGAGAATTTTAGTAAGAGGGAATCCATCAGGAAATTGAGTAATTAGAGTTAACTAATTGCATCTATAGCCCTTGAAATGTAAAAAAAGAATGCGAGATTGTTTAAATTATTCAGGTACAAGGTTTTTGTCCACTAAAATTAAAATTACTCAGACAATTAGTCATACTTCTATCCTGGAATAGATAAATGAGATTGAATATCTGCTTGATCTGGTCCAGCAGATTTAATTTGCAACCTTGATTTGCCAATATGCATATGTTTCTGTGTTAAGAGCTTAAGAAATCCAAATAGCCACAGGCCTCAAAGTGGTTTAGTGAACTTTTAAAATGCATTCTATAAATGTAGTTATAAATTACGAATGGAGTTCGGTACCGCAGTAGCGTGACGTTTGAAACCAAGTGGAGCTAATGCCGTGCTACACGGCAGTAGCACGACTTGGTTTCAAACGTCGCGATACTGCCGTGCTAATGTGGAATTTAATTCGATCAATTTAGTTCGGCACGGCAGTAGCACGACGTTTGAAACAGGCCTTGAACAAGCCAACTGGCAGCAGCGACTGTCAGAGCTGGCAATCAGATAACATTTGCCAGGTTTTGCAAAGATTTCGAGGCCAATTTTGTTTCACGATCGCATTGATGATGCAATATAACAATTCATTTGCTACAGAATTCGCGAATTTACGTTTGCCGACTTTTTTACTGTAACGGCTTGAAATGTATTTTTATCTGCTTCACTTCTAAATCTGGTTCTCAGCGTACATTTGGCAGAAACACTTGTGAAGGCACAACCACAACGACAAACCGGTGAGGGTATTCAGTGCCTGATCTTTAGTAGACTTCGATCAGTAAAATCTTGAGTACCAAATTATTAACTTTAAACAGGATTATTTATGCTTTACGGTTAAAATCTTCTAGGCCAAAATAATTCAGTCTCGAAAGTTAAATTAAGTTTTATTTTGCATTCTTCGTCAGTAAATACTTGGGCAACCTTTTTTTTTTTCAACAAGTCAATTCCAGCTGCGCCCAACACCCCCGGCTACTGCGGGGCATTTGCCCGCCTTGTAAGTCCCGAAGGTGGGGCATTTGTAGGTGGGGTAACGCACCCCATGTTACCTTACCTACCTGGGGTCCCCCACCTTCATGTAAACAGGCTCTTAAATGGTTATGTGCGGCCTGTGCCATACCCTCCCACGCAGACATTTTTAGGTGACGCGATCCTGTTCTTGTGGGTCTGCGGATGAATTACATTTCTCGCAACGTTTTTGTATAGGTAATAGCATGATTTGTAGTGATATTTAGCATAAATACCACGAGTGATATTTCAAACTTGTTATGCGTAATTTCACAAGCCGATAGGCGAGTGAAATTTGAAACAATTTTGAAATATCACTAGTGGTATTTATGCCAAATATCACGTACAAATCATGCTATTATTTGTTTATACTACTACCCGCAAAAGGTTTGTAGTTTTCACATGTAGGTATTTCAAATTAAGCTGAAATACCACTGCTCTAAGCCAATCGAATTGCCGAAATTTCTCACGTAGTAGTATATATATTTGTTGATTTTTCAATTACATAGCCAGGGGTTAAAAAAATGAAAATATCGGTAAACAGTTCTCATATGACTGGATGTTGACTGACTGGAGATGACCTGACCTAAAACAAAACTGTTCCGCCTTTCCATTTTCTTGGGTCCGTTTTCCACTAACCTGAGATCAGGCGTTATTTTTATTTATTTTATTTTATTTTTTTTTCGCTTCTTTGCTTCCTTAGAGAGAGAGCATGGTCTCAGGCTAGTTTTCAACCAAAATCGAAAGAAGCAACTCGTATCTTGTGTGTAGAAAGTCTTTGAAATTCGATTTTCAGGATTTTTCATTGAAGCCTCTTTACGGACTACGCTGTTGCCAGCCCGCCAAGAACATAGATATAACTAGGAGTAATCGGAGCTTAGAAGAGTGCGTTCGATATGTTTGCTAGGCGTACAGGTAGCAGTTGAGGGGAAAGGGTGGATGGTTCTTGCGATAGATAACTATGATTATGGCATATTTTGAACGTAAGGGTTGCGTACAGCGAGACGTCGATTTAAACTGTGTATGATAATGAAAAGGTTTTGAAGGCTAGTGATCAGCGTGATATCATATGGTTGTTATTTGAGGAGACACTGGCCAAAGTGCTTCGGGCGTGTAAAAAGAACTTTTTGTTTTACTGGCGCAATAGATGTTCTACAGGGCGCAGTTGTTCGAGGGCCGATCAGCGCTTAACCCGGGTTTCTTTTTCTTTTGTTAAGAACATTTTCTCAGTTATCAAGAACGACCAATCATCAAATTGTTGCCAATATAAAGCTTTCACATCTGAGTTTAAATTTCGCACTAACCCTCCTCGCCAACAGTAAGAATAACTTAATCATGTTTCCCTGTTTTTATCTAATACCTATATCTTATTGGTGTTGGGTAACAGTGGCAATAATTTACTAAGGGAAAAAGGATCTGGATGGAAATGATTAAACTCTTAGGCTTGGGTAAACAAAGAGAGAAAAATGTTCACAACAATGCTTAAAACGTGTCTAATTTATCTCTCCAATCACATTTGCGATTTCTGCCCCGCTAAAATCTGTGTTCAGCTCATGCTTAGTTGTTCTGGACCCTCTTGCTTATAAAACTGCTGATCTTAATAAGTTAAAACATAGTTTTGCTCTCAACCAATGAATCACAATGCTATAATCAATCTGCTTCTGATCGGATACTTTTTGAGCTAGTTCGGTAAGAAATCGCTCAGCTTCTCTACCATTTCCATCATACGGTGAAAACACGAGAGGGCTAAAGGAGCCATGCTCGACTTCAATAATTCGCTGGTTGTAGTGTCGTTTTTTCTCGTTCTTATTGCTCGAGAAAGCCGTGTCAAGTTTCTGGTTAAGGTGACTCTTTGCAAACGGGTTAAAAACCCTGAGATCAAAAATGCGCGTTGCCCCCTCACTAAAGGTGTGGCTCGACTATATGTTGCATACTCCCACATCCAGCTAAAAACTGATACAGAAAAAAACTTACAAGGGTTTCATTTTTCAGCCAATGGGGTTGTAGAATCTAATGCAGTGTGACATAAGGGAGTTAATTACAACTATTAATTTAGTTATTCTGTGAAATTTACAGGTATGGTTTTGTCACCTTCCGAACTGCTGAAGAAGCTAGAAAAGTTTAGGAAATGGTATATATCCCCAAAATAATATCAACATAACTTAAGCATTTTTTTCTCTCTCAGTAAGGTTTGAAATTTAAGCCTTATTTTAAGAGTTAATCAGGATATATTTTTTAGAGGTTGGTGGTGTGGAGTGGTAGAGCCTTGCAAGTTAGTGGAGCAGTGAAATGAAAGGTATGACTTTCTCGGACCATAGTTCCAAAAAATATTCTTCTTTAATCACTCTTGGCTAACATGATTTCATTGGTTTTGGTCACTTTCAGACAATGGCACCGTCGCGCAGTCAATACATCCCTCTAGATCAGCATAATTTTCCATTGGGTTACATTATGACACAGGAGAGGCCAGTACCTGCTGCGGTATCATGGCAGGAAGGAAATGTAAGTCGTAGAATACTTGTTTAATCCAAGCTGTCTTACTTCAACTTTTCTATCAGTAACTGCTTTCCTATTTCCTCAAGTTTTTCACTTTAGAAATTCTCATCAAGACCTGTTCAATTCTGCTTTTGCTTCCATCAGCGGCGTTTAATCGAGGTCGGCGTTTAAGCATGCCATATTTTTGCTAAGGGTGCTTTGCAAGCAAAATATACTTTGGGCATGGTATTACAAATTCTTTAATCTTATATTATGTTCTCTGTATAGATGACAGAACTGCAGTTAGAAATTCTGTTTGGGGGAATGGGCTATGAGGGGCAAAATGTGAGGCAAAATGTGAGGATCGTTTGAGACATCCGGACTGAAGTTTCTAAACAGTAAGAATAATTTAATCATGTTTCCCTGTTTTTAACTAATAACTATATCTTATCGGTGTTGGGTAACAGTGGCAATAATTTACTGAGGGAAAAAGGATCTGGATGGAAATGATTAAACTCTTAGGCTTGTGTAAACAAAGAGAGAAAAATGTTCAAAACAATGGTTAAAACGTGTCTACTTTATCTCTCCAATCACATTTGCGATTTCTGCCACGCTAAAATCTGTGTTCAACTCATGCTTAGTTGTTCTGGAGCCTCTTACTTATAAAACTGCTGATCTTAATAAGTTAAAACATACTTTTGCTCTCAACCAATGAATCACATCCATATGCTTCTTATCGGATACTTCTTGAGCTAGTTCGGTAAGAAATCGCTCGGCTTCTCTACCGTTTCCGTCATACGGTGAGAACAGGAGAGGGCTAAAGGAGCCATGCGCGACTTCAATAATTCGCTGGTTGTAGTGTCGCTTTTTCAAAAATATCAAGTACTTTCATTGCATTTCCATTCTGCACATACAACCACTCTCAAAGAATTATGGTGTATCTTGAGTATGATTGTGTATGGGAAATCAGGTTAACAACACATAACAGTGATAACCACTTATACGAAATCCACCCCACCCGTCAAAAGCAATGATCGGTCTCAATGGTTAGGAGAGCATTTTGTGAGCATTAGTCCACTAGATTTATTAGGAGGAAACTCGTTATTCAAAGTCAAACAAGAGAATGGTCAATCGTATCTGTATCTCACTCGTACTGTGGATTGGCATTTTCAAAATCTGAATGCCCTGTTTAATACGCATTTGGGTACAGTGAAAAAATCCGTCATGATTTATTGTGATGCTGTAGAATCCACCATTGTAGGGTCGCAAAGACATTCGCTGTTAAGAAAAGTGGAATTAGAAAGGAAAGGAGAAGGTAGAGCTACCATAGAACCTTTACATCATGAATGGATTCGAGTTCGAAATCAGCACATTGAAAGCATTGAAGTGTCCTTGGCCACTCCGGATGGTAATTGCTGCGGAGCGACCGAAGGGAGCGAGCAGCAACATAATCAGGATTTAAAGGAAATATATAAGGGGCGACGAATTCTCGAATTCATCACTTTTTACCACAATGCATTGCATTTAACCACACTTTTTACCACAATGCATTGCATTTAACCAGAGTGAATTGCGCCACGAACAACTCAAATATAAACACGGGGAAGTTCGGTGGGTGAGAGAGTGCATCGTTCGCTGCTCAGACTTAGAGTTTTCTTTGTGGCAAATTTTCTACAGCACGGTTAGAGGTCTTAACAAATTTTAAGACACGCAGGAGTCTTTCAGATGAGTGCGATGGTTAACTTGGGGATTGGATTTCAATTCAAGAGCCTTTTTGACTCGTCCAGGATTTAAACCTGACGAGGAGATGAGCATTTGCTCTTTGACTCCGCAACACGGGTGATATACAAATTCCAGCTTGCTAGAAGGTGATGTGAAAAAAATGTGATGAGAAAATGTCATGCAATGCTATTCTTAAGAAACTGTATGAGCCAAAAATGGATGTGATTTTGACCATTCGCTTCAAAATAACAGCGGAAATCGAGATAACAAACATATGTTTTGTAGACGAGGACATGTATCGGCGTTTTGAAAAGCATAATTATGTTCTTTCATTCATTTATTGCCATGGAATATGCGTTTACATTGTTTTTCACTGTTAATAACTCGGTTAATGCAGCTAGCGATCTTCTTGCCGGCGGAAGTTTCATGGAAAAGGAACAAAATGAAAGACTTTCCCTCCACATTTCGTAATCAGTCTGTGTGGTGTACTGGTTAGGAGTAGTCGCGGCAAGTCGAAGGTGCCGGGTTCGAATCCTACTGTATTATTAATTCCTTCTTTCTTTTTTTTCCCCGTTTTTTGTGTTTTTGTTTTCTATAAATATATAGCTAAAAAACTGTTACTTAATAAAGTGCAACAAACAGCAAGAAAAGCATTGTGTTTCCAGAGAAAATATCGTGCACCGTATATTAAATATATGGATAAACGATCTGCATTTCTATTATTTCCTACAATTTATTGTGGGAAAACCAGAGTTGACTAACCACTTGATCATTTTCTAAACAACGTTCCCACGAGTTCTTTCTATAGACTGATAGTAATTATTCTAGTACTTTCCAACATGTAAATAGGACTTTCAATGTCATTTTCGATTCTTTTAAGTCTCACGGCCTAACTAATGCCAGTATCAACAGAATGTGCCGCAGCATTACTATCTTTTAGATACCCTAGTTTGTTAGTATTACCCCCGGCAAAACAATCATCACCCTTGCTTTCCAACAAGTATAAAAGAGACCGTGCTTTATGGGACATCACAACAACAGCAACAACATGTTAACAGGATCGCTTACGCGTTACCATACACCCACGATGCATGGTGGCGGATTTATGCAAGAATTGGTTAAATTAGCAGGACCTAGCTTGGTTCGTTCGATTGGGCACGGATTACAAGCTTATGAAAAAGGAGCTTCTGTGACGGACGCCTTAAAAGGTTCAGGAGAAACGTAAAATACCGGCGGCTATTGGTCTTGCGGTTAAAACCAAAGCCAAACAAACCTATAAAAAGAAACGACGTGTTAAAGACATTTTAGGTATGTAAAACATGCGGCGAGGACAAAAATCACAATCTCACATAAGACATCAACGATCAGTGGGTGGTTACCATTCTCCTTATCAACGGGGAGGCACTATTTTTAGACAACCTCCCAACCCATGGGGATTCACTAATTATAAACCATTTGATCCGATGATGCTTCGTTCTCTTAGACAAAAAGCAAAACAAAAAGGAGGGAAAGTGCATCCAGTCATCTACCCTTGGAAAAACAAAGGACAGAAACGTATAAATAGACAACGCAGATGACGGTAAGTTATCAGTCCGTCAACATGTCATTGAATCTGTTTGACATTCGCAACGTTGACTATCGGTATGAAGCCAAACGGTGGATTCCTTTTAAACCCGCTAATACTGGAACTCATCCTATTCTTTTTACTGTACCGGCAGGGGATGATTAGTATGATTTAAATGAAACCAAGCTGGAAATCAAAGTTCGTTTGAACACCGCAGGGACAGGGGGTGTTTCTAGCGGAGAAAGCGCTCCTTCCGATGCCAATAATTCCAAATACATCTATTGCGTCAACAATTTTGGTCATTCTCTCTTTAATCAAATGAATGTGTCTTTCAATGGAGTGTTGATGACAGAGCAAAGCATTGCCTATCACCAGAAAACTTACCTAGAAACCCTACAGAATTTTAATCGTCAAGAAGGAGAAACCACTTTAGTTCCTCAAGGATGGGTGAATGAACTCAATGTCCTGGAAGAATTAACACCCACCAATGCAGGCAATAATGATGAACCCAACCCCAACAACTGGAGTGGAAAAACAGGCTTGAAAGCACTCACCAGTCGCTTACTCGGCAAAGCGTATCATACCTTTATGATCATGCAAACCCCACATCGTGGTGTTCAGAACAGGCAAATGTTTGGTTCCTAATGTGCAGATTGATTTGGAATTGTATTTGAATGACAGCAGTATGTTTCTGTTTGGTACCCCAGACACGACTACGTCTGTCAACAAAAAGATTCCAACTCTGGGAGACAATGATTTGTTTGTCACTCTGTGGATGAAAAAAGTCACTCTCAATGCCTCTGTGTATGCCAGACTGCAAAAAGAAAGAAGTTTAAGTAAAACCAAAAGTCCGCTATCCTGTGGTTCGAAGTGAAATCCGAACGTGTTTGTTCGATGGTAACAGCACTCGTTGGTCTCAGGACAATGTCTTCCTGAACAAGGTTCCTATCAAGGTCATTATCGGGCTCATGAATTCCACTAATTACAATGGAAGTCTAAAATATTATCCTTATGCCTATGAAAAGTTTGGAGTCACACGAGTTCAACAGCGGATTCACGGAGAAGAATACCCTTACAGAGCGTTGGAACAACCTCGTTCCCAGGGCTTTTCCCATTGAATTTGGGAGGGGCGGGAAAAGACCCTGGCATCGGCTGGTCACGTGATTCCAAACACCCGAAAATTCTGGGTGTAATAAATTACGATGTGATGAACGTGTGAAATAATTTTCAAGCAAGATGGCAGAATCGCGAGATAACTTATCGGTAATCAGTCGCCTTGGATTAGCTCTAAACCGATGCAACTTTTCTTCTTTTTGCATAAAGCCACTTCAGGTGAAGTGCTTCGAGTATTTACTGAATGGATACGATGTTATTGCCGTTCTGCCGACTGGTTTTGGCAAATCGCTCCTGTTTCAGCTTTTACCAAATTTCTTGCCTGTAAAGGCAGACAAGAATGTTGTCATCGTTGTTTGTCCTCTGAACTCTATTATGGAGGACCAACTTAAAGTGTTAGAAGAGAGAGGAGTCACTGCCGATGTTCTGCAGCTGGCCAGTGATGATCGGGAGGGTATCGAGAGTCTGTTCAATCCAGAAGACAACGACGAAAGCGTGGACGTGTCAAAGCTAAAAAGTCCCTCCAAGAATCTCCTCAGGGGAGATGTACAGATAGTATTTGCCCATCCAGAGTCCCTTTTAAGCAAAGACGGACGAGAGCTGATGAAAGGCAAAGTCTTCCAATGAAATGTGGCTGCATGTGTAGTCCATGAAGCTCACTGTGTTGAAATTTGGTGAGGCTTGCCAACTTCAGTGATAATTTTTAAGTGATAATTCTCATAACTTATCTGACAGTAATTCAGTATTTAAAATTGGACGTTTTTATAAGTACATGTAGTCACCTTTAAGCAATTTTAAAATACCTGGCATGTTATTAAAATATGTCTCAAAGCCTAACAAAAGGATCCATTCGCATTCAGTGGTATGGAAGTTAGTGACTGGGTAATCTACAATGTAGCTAAAATAAAAAATATCACTTTACTTGCTGTACACTGGAACCTGGATGTCCTTGTAATACATGTAAGCTTTCATGCAAGTGTTTGAGAATGCAATTGTTATGAGTACGAGAAAATACGTCTGTAAGCGTCAACTTCAAGAGCTTTATTGCAGTAGTTTTACACTTCATGTGATCCTCGAGATCACGTGACAATCACAGGACAACCAACTTATCATAACATCCCCCTTCTTAAGCCATTTGGCTGTCTTAAAGAGTTTATGCTAGTACAAGTGAAAACGGGAACAAGAAGTTAACAACTCAACTATAGATGGGTCTACAATACAACTATGTTACATAACATAATCCTTATGCCAAACCGGAAGGGATCTAACCCGAGTAGAGCGACGCGGAGCCGAGGCGGCATTAACATCGGGTGGGTCTGGTTCCAGGTTAGCATCTTATTCTCTAGTTACACTTGGAGAGTTTACATCGGATTGCATAGTTACAGGCTGTGACTTATCAATGAGATCATCATTTACTATAGTAACAGGTGGTTCCTGAGTAAGATGAATATGACGCCTATTTCTACGATACTCTCTACCTGTTTCATCAGTAATTATAAACGATCTGGGTGTCTCATGTTTTCCTGTAACTACAGCCTGTGACAAATGCTTGTCACTTGGTTTCTTGAACCTTACACTATCCCCTTCATTGAGTTGAGGCAATTGTTTGGAGCCTTGGCGGTCATAGAATTCTTTGTATTTAGCTTGTCGTTTTTCTAGTAATTCTGGAATATCATGACAGATCTGTGGTACTAAGACTAAGGGATGAACAGGAACTCTTGTTCGGATTTGCCTACTGAATAACATTTGGTTAGGCGAATTAGGAGAATTGCTAATTGGCGTGTTACGGTACTCCATTAGACCTTCATTCAAACTGCAGTCCTTTCTCAGTAAATTTTTAACAATGTGAACGGCTTTTTCTGCAAGACCGTTTGCCTGACTATATGTGGGACTGGTTGTTACAATGTTAGTGCCACATTGCTTAGCGTAATCCTTCATTTCTCTGGAGTTGTAGGGCATGTTATCTGCAATTAGAGTTTGTGGATAACCATGCCTTGAGAAAATTTCCCTCAGACACCAGATAATATCGCTGCTGGTTTTGCCATTGAGCCTAATGGCCTCAATATATTTTGAATAATAATCAATAACCACGAGGTAGTTTTGATTTTTGTGTTGTAACACATCTGATGCAACGATTTGCCATGGCAATATTGGAATTTCTCGAGTTTGCATGGGTTCTTTGGTCTGCTTACTTTGATATTTCAAACATTTTTCACAACAAGATATCATGTCTTCAATATGCTTATTCATGCCAGGCCAAAATACCGTCGTCCGCGCATTAGCTTTGGTTTTCTCAATGCCGCAGTGGCTGATATGCAGTTTCTGAAGTATATCTGTTCTCGATGTATATGGAATGACAAGCCTGTTGTCCTTGAGAAGAATT